GATGATGATAATAATAATAATAATATTTAAAATTTTAAATAAATTACTTTATTTTTAAAAACACTTATTGAACATGTCTGAAAAGAAGTGCAATGTTAGAATAGAATCACGAAAAAATGTTAGTTTGTTAACTTGTATTTGTAGGCTTGAATGAAATCCGGAACCGTACTCATTATCATTAAGCAATGATACAGAATGTGTTTAAATGACAATTTTGTTTCTATTGTATTGATGAATAAGAATCTTTCGTGCAGTTCAAATTACTAAAATAAGAAGGCGACCTCTTGTTTTCTATAAGTAAACAGTTTTTGCGTAATGGTGAAAGTAAAGAGTGTGTTCGATAAAAGAATGAGTTTATTTTTTCAGTTTGACCAATTATTATTGCTTTTTACTGATTTGAAACCGAATGAACTCTTATATCACTAAGTGCCATTCGATGAAGTAGTTTCGGAAAATTTAGACCGGGCCGTGTATTAAATGCTCCCAAATAAACTGCATTAAATGCACTAATGATTTGGCTAAATGTAATTAATAAGTAGTTTATTTATTTTTAAGTGAAACTATCTTGAGATAATGAGGTTATTTATTTATATATCTGAACTTCATGTATTACATCAAAAATGTTTATACAAATTCTACTTGAAATTATCGGCATGTTTGCTACTTTGATGACACACCAAAACTCTATTTTTGATATTTAAACTTGTCACGGTAATGGTATGTTATTTTGTGACGGACGGAGAATCCGACTGCCAAATATCATCAATTATCGGATTTAAATTTACATTTATCCTGATAATTGATAATATTAATGTTCTGATAATGGATATTTAATTTTATTTTATATGCTTCTAGGCACGTCAATTTGCATGTCAATATTCTGAATCAATCATCGGTTGACAATTTTCAAGACTTTCAAATTTACAAATTACCGTACTTATTCTAATAAAGAGTGTGCTGTATGTGACTTACTTCAGCTCACGCCTGCAATTTTTATTATAATAAATACAATACGTATCATTAAATCGAGTGTATAAAAGGGTTACTAAAAAGTAAACTTGGCTTATCACATCTTCATTCAAAGGGCTCAAAAAACATGTTTTTAATATCTGTAGTGTTCAGTGGATCTTGGCCGTTCATAATGTTCTTTGTTACTTGATTGCTTCTTGTTCTCTTTTTAAGATTGTTGGATAGTTCCGCACGAATGAAAATATATACACTTGAAGAATGATTAAGATATTAGTAGAATGTAAGTTGACTCATCACATGTATCACCATGGTAATTCTGACAGAAATTGACAGCAATAATAAAATTCTAGCTGTGACAGATGCCCATAAGTAAGATTTATCACGAGTATGTTTTTTTATGGAAGTGAAAAGTCTGTTTCTAAAAAGTAAATAAAATAAAGCAACATTTTGTATAATAATAATAATAATACTTTAAAAAAATACATTTAGGATCTTTAATTTTCTCAATTTCAATAAATATGAAAAATTTACCATGTTTTCAACTATTCTGGCTTTTTTAATTAAAATTCCAACATGTGTACCACTCCAGGTGGGAGAAGTAACACACAAATAGATCACAAGGGCTATACAGTAGAAAAGGTTACAACAGTGATTGCAGAAATTTTAGATTGTTGCTCCTGTAAGGACAAGATAAATGTTAATACCAGAGGCTTTATGAGAAACTATGCTTTCTCTTCCATACTTCAGTTGCATAGTAGTAAAAAGATTGGTATAGTGGATCTTGAACTAGAATATTTAGTGAGCAAAGTCATTCAAAATGATAAAAAAAAAAAATAGTCTCTAGCTCAACTTAAGATGTTCATATACTGTGATGAATGGTTTCAATTTTTCATTTGTACATTGTACAGTACATGAGTAGAAGACACTACTGATCAGACTAAGGTCACTGGTAACTCTTTAAGTTACCATGTCTTGTTAGAAATTGTATGAGCATGCAAGAGAAATTTTTTTGAGTGATCAAAAATTTGGGTTGCCGGACGTTCCGGATTTTTCCGACCGCCGTCTAGCAACGGGAGGACTTTATTCTAAAAACCATTCCTACAATGAGTAGCTTTTTCTTTTTCCACATTTTAAATGTATTTCTGTCACCGGCAAAGTAAAAATACATGTCCTGCACGTCCCGGAATCGAAGTGCCCCAGTATTTTTTGGGAAGAACTCATTTTGTCCCCGATTTTGTCCTCGAGTACCTGCAAACGTATCAAAAATACAAACAATGTATCAAAAATATTCTGGATTGTGGGAAAGAAACATTTGGTAACAGCTTTTTTGGTGGTGTTAAGAGAAAATTACTGATGATGGTATACAGAAGTCTGTTAAAGTAACACTGTGCAGAAATAGAGAAAATCGTCATCAATTTCAGTCTGGATAGCACAAAATTAAGTGAAATATATCAATAAAGAGAATAACAATATTAAAATACATTGTTCCTGCTCCAACATATGGAGTCTGATTAATTCATATTAATATCAAAATGGATAAAAAGTAAGTTCTTTTTAAACTTTTAAAGTTTAAAAAAAACTTTAATGTAATCTTTGAAGAGGTGTAATATTTATTGTAATTGGGCTGCAATTTGAAAGAATTGTAGATCTATAAATTCCCACTGTCAGTCAATCTGTGAATCCATCCTTCCTTAATCTTGAGAATGGTGTTAGATAAATGAAAGTAGAGACCAGATGTAGAAAAATTAGAGGCAGGAGGTCCCGATTAACTATATATGAACTTTGGTATTGACCGAATATATGTATATACGTTACTTCAATTCAAAAATTTTTCCTGGAACAGAGTTAGATAGATGACTGGCACGATTCTACTGTTATCAGGAAAAGTATGATGTACAGGGACAAGACTCTAATAAAATGAAGAGAGCATATACTGTATTTTAAACTAAATAAATTAAAAATAACACGATTAGAAATTGCAGCCAACAACACAATAAATAATTGCTCATTATAAATAATTTGCATGTGTTTGGGTGGGACTAAAGGAAGACCAACTCTGCTAATACTGATTGTACTCCAATGATTGTGAATGGACAGTCAACAGACCTCAAAAATTTATTCTTGTATTTAGTCTTTTTATAATTGTAAATGCAATTTGTTCTGGATTTTTTATCTTTATTTTACTAACTATTTTTTGTTTTCTTTCTTTAAATGATTAGTTACAGAGTTCATCTTTGCCTCAACAACGGAGTAAAAATCCTTATTTCTGTAACCTGTTACTGGTGCATTACATGTAAAAAATACACTTTGTAACAAACATTTTCGAACTATTGCAAAGTTCTTCTTCAGGTCAAATAGCTTTGGAATGCCTCAGAGTGGAATGTAAAGATTTAAAATGAAATTGAATGCCATTTCGACAAAATCCGTTTTGCCGGGCATGCACGATCATGTGCTGATGGATCTAATTATGGGTTGGCATCTATGAGGGCCTGCCAGACTAGCGACAGANATTATTATTATTATTATTACTTTTGAATAATAAATATGCCTTTGATGCCATCTTTTTATTGCATGCATACCAGTTTGAATATCCATTCATCCAAAAATATCACTAAAAATGGAAGAATGCAGAATGAATAATCCTAGGTGAGTCTAACTGATGTGTCATTTATGAATAACTTTTCCTCAGAGATCTGCAATGATTACACTTCTATAAATATATTTATGCATAACTTCTATTAAATTCTATGATAAATATAAATATATGAATATGTATTCTTAATTTGGATTAAATAATAAAGTTTAGCGAAATTAATAAACAGAAAAAAAAGGGGGAGAGAAAATTTCTGTATTTAACTAAATAAACATTAAACAATTTAATATGACTGAATTATTCAGACAGAATTGTCTTTTCACCTTAAGAATTTATAGAAGAAAAATAACCAAAGGTTTTATTATATATTAAAATTGAATTATGTAAGTTTTACGACAGGATGTTTTATATATTTGTAAAGATAAATGTGAATTATTCTTCCCCGAGACTATTCTATGTGACTTGCACTTGACAGTTAACATGATTAGATTTAAAGTTTCTATTTTTTCTTTTTTTAAATTTTCTATGTGAAAACCATTTCGATTCTCTCAATTAAATAGTTTTATTTAATTTTAATAGAGAAAAATAAAACTCAGATTAAAAATTAAATGTAATTTTAATTTAAAGTCTTGTAAATTAAACTAATATGGTATATACGCATTAATAAATGATTGTTCTTTAGACGCTTCGTCCCATTTATGGGATAATCGCCGACAGAGATTTAAATTTAAGAATTTAATGTACATTATTTTATATTTGTATGTACCGAATTAATCAAAAATTAAAGTTATTTATAGTATAAATGAATGCTCTATACATATGTTTTTTTTTTTCTTTATATAGGACAAATCAAATGTAGAACATGAAGGTGGAATTTTGCATTTAATGATGTATGTAAATTAAAAAATTTTTTTAGTAATTTTAAAGGTTTAAATAGTTAAAAAGTTTAGAATAATTTAACTTAAATATAAAACTTCTTAAATTGTATAGAAAAAGATGCAACAGAAATACTTTTTCTATGAGACAAATTAAAGAATAAAATATATTTATTATCTATAAAAATGGCCCACACATAAACTAGACTAGCAATGATTTAAAAGTCTATTTTCTCTGCGTCGCGTTTGATTTAGTTTAATAATAATCGAGAATTAAGTTTTTATGTTAATTAACGTTGAGTAAAATATAATTTTAAAGCGTAACAGAAATTAATACATTGATGTTGATGTATTCCATTCAATCCAGTAGAAGAAAATTGATAGCGGCTAAAAGTACATTTAGCCAATAATATATTACAGAACTGCTTGCTCATCAATTTATTTATTAAATTTTATTATATTAATATTTGATAATATATTCCTAACTCGAGTAATCGAGTTATTTAATTTCGGAATCTTTCGGTTCGCGTGAACCGGCCGGTAATAGATATGTCGCGTACGTTCGATTTGAGTCGGGTCGTAATTTTTACGATAAATTAATTTTGCTTTTTACATTTTGTACTATAAAACTGCAACGATTATTATTAAAATATAATTTTAAAGTAAAAAAAGTTATAGAATTTCATACTTAAGTGAAGTAGTTTTGTATGAATAATTGGAAATTTCTTAAAAATTAATGTAGCAAATTTAATTAATTAATTTGATGTGTTTATATGAAAAAAAAGTCAAGTTTTAAATATTAAAATATTAAATATATTCTTGTTACATTGTATTAAATTACTGATTTTTATAGTATATTTTCAAAAATTAAATTTAATTAATTGAGTGAATGTAGAAAAAAATACAATTTGAAAACTGTAGAAGCTTAAGAGAGGAACTAAACTAAAATGTAAAATAGAAATATAGATAAAGAAATTTAGATTTAAGATGTGAAAAGAAATAAAGTTATAGGCAACTAAGAAAAAATATATTCTCCATTGGGAATTATAGAGACTCGCGGCACCAATTCTCATAATGGATCTACAAGCGCAACAAATATTTAGAAATTAGTGAATGTTAATTAAAATGTTTTTAAAAAAGAGAATTTTACTTTAATCTTCTCTAATTCCTTTTAATTTATTCTTTTGTATACGCAATAAAAATGAATTATAAACACAAGTATTTAGAAATATATCTTAGGATGGTTCGGCATTGATTTTTGAATTACATTTAATTTAATATTTATACAATTATATTAAAATTCTAAATTATGAGTTTAATATCTTTATTTATTCTTAAAAAAATTAAGTTTTGGTATATTATTTATTTAAAAAGTTTAAAAGTTTCATAGTTTTATTTACTAACCAAAACTTTCACCTTTACACTGGGGTAAAGGTGAAAGTTTATTTGATTTTTTATGAAAAAGTTAAATTTGTTAAATTATTCAGTAAAAATTAACATATTTATATTAAATTAACACATCTATAAAACAGAAAAATGAAAAAAAAATTCATTTATTTAAATTTTTAAAAAGTTAATAAGATCAAAAAATCAACATTTCCACGTGGTTGGATCACCCACCTGCCAATCTGAGAGCAGACATCCGTTGAAATTCTGGTTCTTCCAGCCACTTGTACATTCTCCGGAATGTTTCTCGTCCAGACTTCAGCTTGCTCCATGGTTTT